TGTCAGTTGATAATAGATGGCAGCACGAGTATTACGTAAATTTTTTGCGTTTTGTGGAAGTTCGTTTTGCGTGAATCAAACGATAATATACAGTTAATATAAAAATGTTTTAAGTACTTTATGATTCTGCCTTTTTAACTGAAAATTCACCAATAAATTAAAGAATTAATGCTCTAACTTAAAATAAGTTCAACAGACGATTTCTACTTTTGCGAAATCGTTAAAACATGTATTTAATTTACTTATGGCAAAGCCCACTAGGGCTATCTGCCTAAGGGAAGGGATGCCTTCGTGAAGGACTTTCTAAGGGAAACAGGCTCGTATACACGTTACACATGGGGAAAACCACGAAAACACCCATGCAGCCAGCCCGTTCGCGGGATTCGAACTCCGGACCGAACTACCAGTGTTCAGCGACTTTACCGCTCGGCCGCTGGTGGGTATCGTTAAAATATGAATACGCTACGAAAACTTTCTTTTAATTTTGAATTCTTTAGTTACCTTGCAGCAGATGTAATGCCTAACTAAAGAATTTCGGGAATTCAGTTGAAATAATAACTGCTAATATTAATTAAATTTAATGCACACATTCATTCTGGAACTTTAAATTGTTTGTAATTAAAATATCACTTTTTTCCCTCGTCTGTTAAAAACTTTAAAAATTTTAAATTCATTTGTCTGAATTCTATTTAATCTTGATATATATATGTGCATAAACGTAGGATTTTTTTAATAAAACGTTTCATTATTCTTTCTCATTAATGTATTAGATCAGAAGTAGATAACTGGAAGCCGACGATTGTGCCAGAAAAAATTTAAATAATTAAAACGAAAAAATATGAAATTTGTAAAGAATTTTAATAAAATTTGTTACGAAAGCAAATTATGATTTATTTGTCAAATGTGTTGTGTATTTTTGCGCTAAATTAAGAAACCCGTTATTCGACAAAATCAAAGAGGAGTAATGAATCCTAAATTTTTTCCTATCTGAATTCTAAAAGATTACCGAAGCCTTCATATAAAAATAATATGAAGGAGAAGGAAAAAAAAAAAAAAAAAAAGAATCTACTAGTATTATAAGAAAGTCTATAATTAATCAAAACTTCAAATCATTATATGAGATGAAACTTTTTAAAAACAGGCCTATATTTTTAAGAACATAAGAATGAAATTTAACAAGTTTAAGTACTTAATTCTTAACACATGAGATTCAGTGTCTCAGCATAATTTAGCAGAATATATTTTACCAACTGCTGCAAATTTTTTACATTTTTTTTCCAAGATTATTTTTAAGGCAAACGCAAAGGGTTACTTCAAGAGTTAACACAAACAAATATTATACATGAGGCATTCTCCAGAAGAAAAGAGTGTGTCATTTAAACCCGCCAAAGAGGTGATATCAGTAATCCAGATCCACTGCAACTGCTACAGTTCTTGTTTATGAATGATTTCTGAGCCGTCAGTGTAATTAATACTTTGAATTTGAGTTAAATGTTCAACGGAATTTTGATGGAATGAAAGATTAAGTTTTCGAATATCAAATCTTCGCCATGGATCTTGAGATTTGAAGATTCGAATCTTCTATTCCTACAAAATTAGAGCTTTTGAAAGGTGGTTATTCATTTTACTTATCTATGACTCGCTTTCTGTATTATTTATAAATAAAAGGTGTTCATATCTGATTATACAAGAATCGGCAAAGAGGCAACTGTTGTATTAGTTATTATACAAAAGAGGGGAAAAAGTATAGCATTTGCCATTTCAGAAACAAGTAGAGCTAGCATTTTTTATTTAGGGATTTAAGTTGTAAGGTTTATCCTAAGTTGCTAACAGTTATTTTTAGTTAAAGCCACTTTCCTATCGTTCTTAATTTCAGCTTACAGTTTCCTACCAGAATGTGTTTTCAGAATCACGGTTAAATGCAAATGAAGAAAGAGCAAGTATTTTAAGGCGAAGTTCCACTGACTTTGTTTCAGATCAACGCACGTTCGCCTTTTGGCTGCACTCTCCCTAAGCTATTTCTACGCTCGGCCGTATTTCAGGCCCTTGATAGCTTCGCCGTTTAGTTAGCGTTTAAGGGGCCGACTCCTGTAGAATTTTGATAGCTTCGGCTGTATCTTTTTGTTAAGCATTAGTTAAGTTATATTTCTTAGTATTCTTGAGTTCAAACCCAAGTACGTCCTGAGAGAGGAACGTTTGTGAAGTTTATTTTGAGCAATAAAGAGTAATCACCCCTTCATGAGTTTCAGATATTCAGATACCCTTCAGATATTAAATCATTACAGGAAATTTATCAAAAGAACAAGAAAAACTACGGAGGTTAGTCCTAAAATATGACAGAAATTCAGGAACTCCTTTTGTATTATTATTGCTGATTTATAGACAATTGCTACTGTTAACACTTTCACGAAAAGTATTTTATTAGTTACGCATAAAATATATAAAAAGAGAAAAGTAAAAAAAATCTTAAATTCGCGTGACGTTTTATAGAAAGAGAAAAGTAAAAAAAATCTTAAATTCGCATGACGTTTTATAAAAAAAGTGAAAAGTAAAAAAAAATCTTAAATTCGCATGACATTTTAACATTATATTAAGCTTTGAAGTAATTAAATTATTCATAATTTATAACATATTTTTTCTTGTCACATATTTTTTGTCTCATAGTCAAAAAGTTTAATTTAATCGTCCATGTTATTATTCACTTGTTCTTATGATATTGCGTAAGAAGTATAAAAAATTTTACCTCTTATTTTGGGACAAAGAATTTACGACACCTTATTTGCGCCCTTTTTTTAATGTAGTAAATTCTAAAAATATTTATCTTACAGTTTAAAATAATACAAAAATAGTATATCTTTGAATAAAATCTTTCACGTGCATCTATACAATAGTGAATTCGAAGGTAATTTCAAATAACCACTACTACTACTCGCCGCTGAGGAATCTTCTGACCAGGGTATTCGCCATTCTTAGCAACTCATCGGAGTTGATCTACTTCCGCCTAAACTTCAGCCAAGGGCTGGGACGATAGTACAGACAGCATTATTGTGTTACTCAAAATATAATAATAATAATCCTAACAGGAGCAAACAAGGATCTAGTAGAAGGTACAATTTTTCAGCGAAAAGACACTGTTAAGGTGTTGTTCTACTAACATATGCAATACATAAAGTGGAGACAGGGTATGTGCTATGTAATATAAATGCAATGTAATTGCACACTATTGTAGACAATAAAAATGCACAATTCAGTTCCCGATATACTTCTGGGTTACACAAAATGCATATTGAATTAATTCAAAGTTAAGAATGAAATTATATTAAGGGGACCCATACACCTTAAACCCCTCATGATCTTTGAATATGTGACTGTTGCAAGAATTGGAATATTTTATTTATTTTAAAAGCAATTACTTCCAACTTTTTACAGCTGACTACATAATATAGCTGCTTTGGAAACTAATAACCAGAAAGTTTGTGTTGCCACACATATTTTTTATAATTTAATCCTCTTTGTGACAAAATATTTCGCCATGTTTCCACCTTGCGCGCATGATATTTTAAAAATGGCTAATGGAACATACTTGAAATTTGATGGAATTCTTTATATGGACACTATTTTCTAACTGAACCAACAATCTGATGAATGTTTTAATATTGAAAAATTTCATGGAATTATTAAAATATGGAATTATTATGGAAACATTAAAAATTTTTAAAATAAAATACATTTTATAAACTCAACTCAAAATAAAATAAAAATGTAACATGAAATTTTTAGAATTTTAGGTTCACAGTAGTTTCCAAATGTTATAAAAGCTATATATTAAATATGGAATTAAATTATGAAACAGAATATTTTAAACTGTGCGCGTAAGTTGGAAACATGACGAAAAATGTTATCACAAAGCGGATTAAATTATAAAAATATTTGTGGCAACACAAACTTTCTGATTACTATTTCAGAAAGCAGCTATATTATGTTGTCAGCTGTAAAAAGTTGGTAGTAATTGCTTTCAAAATAAATAAGTTGTTCCAATTCTTGCAACAGTCACCTATTCGAACATTTTATGGGTTTTAAGGTGTATGAGTCCCCTTAATAGTGAAATAACACGAGCAAACGAGGCTCTTGAAGAGAGAACATGTTTTCAATGTAGAAACATCATTGTGGTGTTGTATTACAATTAATCAGAGTATTGTATTACATAATGTGGAGGCGCACTAGTGTACAGAATGACACCATCTAAATAAAAATGCAGTTAAATGTAAATATAGTAATATTAATTAATACACAATAACACGCCCAACAAATAATAATTCAGAAGTCAAACAACAAAAATCAGCGTTATATTTTCAATTTTGAAAATGTAACGCTGATTTTTGTTGTTTGACTTCTGAATTATTATAGTAATGTTAACTTTCATTTCTATTGCATATATTCAAACCTCAAAGCGTACAACTACATTTTGAGGCATATATTGCAATCGTTTTACCTTACAATTATATATATATATAAAATACTATACAGAATGGGTATAATTGTACTACGTATACTAAATATTCAAAATACGCTGGGCTGCAAAAATGATAAGAGCTATAAAGCGTAATGCAATAGTTAGTTATCTTAATATATAGATACATATAATACATATAATATAAAAGCAAACTGTTGTAGACAAAATAAAGGTGCAATTCAATCGCCGATAAACATCTGAGTTACACAAAATGCATATTAAAGATAAGAATGAAATGATACCATTAGTGAAAGAACATGAGCATACAAGGCGCTTCAAGAAAGTGCATGTTTTCAATATAGAAACATCATTATGCTGTTATTTTAAAATTAGTACTGTGTTACATAAGGTGTTTTCGCACTATTGTAGACAATGATAAACATCTAGATAAAAGTGCAATCAAATAACCACCAGCAGACAATATATTCTTTTTTGCCGTGTCATCACATTTCAATGTCAAGGTCAGCGCTTTTTCGGTTAGGCGAGGGTTTGGTAAACAGGCGCTGTTGCTTTCGTTATTGGTAATAGAAGCAAATATTACTCAATCAGAATCATTGATGATATTTTCGAAGTTACGAAAACACAGTGAGCTAGTTGACAAAATCACTACGCATTTCTGCATGAAAGAAAGGGAGGAAAAGTCAACTGTTTTGAAGGAAAGTCGAAATTCGAAAAAATTCTTATTCGTTATATACAGTGGGGCAAAAAAAGCATTTAAGTATTATACTCCGTGATGGAGATCCCACTGGCGTTCATAATTTTGACGCTCATAATGGCAATGCTGGTCGTTACTGTTCTTCTTGTGGTTTTCCTGTGCTTTCGTATATCCAAAATAGGCAAGAACTACTCAAAGTTTCCTTCATATGGTGCAGCAAATCCCCTTATGGTTTATTGGCAATATTATTGGCAATCTCAAAGTTCCACGTCAGAGCAGATTCCGTTCATTGCGAGTAAGTAGTTGATAGATGAATTGTTTTAGATTTCTAAACGTTCCTCCAGTTTCAAAAGTATATAAAACCAGTTCTTTCGTCACCTTTACTATGTGATTTTGATCTAATACAGCTCAGAAAATGTACAGTATATATGTTATTCGATTTATTTTAATATAGTATTTTCAAGCCGCTCTGCTTAAAAGATCTGCATTTGATTTCTTAACAAATATTATTACTGAAGAAACAATTTTCGAAGTTTTACATTTTTAATAAAGATGCTAGTAATACCAAAACTTTTGAAACAGTTTTGACTTGTGCCATTTGAACACTAAATTATGACCTCTTCCCTCAAAAAATCTACCGTAGCTTAAATACGTAAACGTTTTGCATACTTTTCTACAAGACAACCGAAGTTCTTTATTCTGTTAAAAGGTGTAATATAATATCATCTAGCTTAAACGCTTAAAAGCTTCAATTAGCTCATATTGCAAAGTCAAGAGGACGTTTTCAATATTTTTCGAACTAAAATGCGATTATGAAACATTTCTAAAAACTCTAATTCATTCGAAAGGAAATAACAGAAATTGTCAACGAATAAATTATCTTGTTAGTTTCAATATATGGAAGTTATGTTTCCACTGCAATTTTTGAATTAATGAAGCATTATTTACTTTATAAAAGATAATTCATACGTGTTCATGTACTTTCAAGAGTTTAAAAAATATGAATTTAAATGATTAAAAATCAATTAAGATTCAATAAAATATATTGGTATGATTTGTCGATTGGTATAATTTTGTATTGTGTTTTCATATCTGTAACCTCAATTCTCAACATTTTCATACTTTCCTTTTGCAAATATTATTTTTTATTCCAGCATACTTAATCACTACAGAAGTACTATAAATATGTAAAATGTTAATTTTTCCCCTTAAATAAATTCTTTAAATAGTTATGATTACATTTATACCTAATTTTATGAGACTTCTAAAATATCGGACCCGTAACATTATTTTAATTAAATCGTTAATTAGGTCAATAATTCCCAATACTTTGATGAAGTATCTATGTTATCAAAGTTATTGGAAATGTTGTGGGATACTCTAAAGGTCGTTTTTGAATTTGACGTCAAAAATCCATTAAACATTGTTTTGAATTCTGATGACACTAAACGAACTGAAAGAATACGAACCGAATAAGAACTGAAGGAAGAATGTTTGACTCAGTGGGTGTTCTCTCTTCCTTTACTGTCAGGCTGAAACTAATTTTCCAAGAATTATGGGAACGAGGAATTCATTGGGATGAAGAATTACCTTAAGAAATATTAGAAACCCGGAAGAGCTGGTGCTCTGAAGTAGAGCTCTTGAAGGAATTTTCAGTTGCAAGGAAATAATTTCCGACGAATGTGAAGATGATTGGAGATACATTGCAGTTACACATATTTTACGATGCGAGCCCAAGGGCGCACGGTGCAGTAGCGTGTCTGAGATTTCAAGAAGGGAAGTACGTCAATACTAGTTTCGTGATGGTTAAAACAAGAGTTTTTCCTCTAAAGAAACTGGCACTACCGAGATTAGAATCAATGAGCTCAGTGTTTGCAGCCTATATAGCTCTTGGAACAGCGCATCTAGACTCACTGTAAGTATTGCTTATTTGATTTCACGATGGACATGCCTTGCGACGAGTACTGTTAGGGAATTATGACAATGGCAAAATATGATATATTGAGAGATCAAGAGTATATTAATACTCTAATTAAAAATGGCGCGTGTGAGGAAATCAAAGCACAGAATTCTTACACTTAACATCGAACGAAATAAGATCTTGAGCAACGAAGTTCAGGTTACCCTGATATTTACGCTTTACTAAATGAAACCATTACTAAGCTAACTGCTAAACTTCTAGCAAGCGAAATTAAAGGAAACAGTCAAACCGGAATTGATCAGGAACTTAAACAAAAAACATGAATTCCCCAAAATATACCAGAAAATACTACACCGACCAATAATTCACAAAATAAAAATAATGGAAACTGGATGCAACTGAGAAAGATCCATAAAAGAAACCTAAGCGATTCAAACAACTCATCAATGACTTCGTTCAAAAGATTCATTTTATTACATGATGATGACGAAATGGAAACCAACATAGATAATACCCAAATTATTAACTTACAAAACACTCAAAAAGGGAGGTTTTATGAAACTTTACAAAACCGCAAAAAGAATTCCCCCAATCATCATATCTGATATTATCGAATGGAAACCATTCCGCGACGAAATGAAAAAACTCGTTAAAAAATTTGAAAGCAATTTCAATGAAGGAGATATTCATATAAAGGTAAAAGATTGGAATGATTATAGAAAACTTAACCATTACTTTGACGCGAAAACAATACCATATCACACCTTCCCATTACCTCATGAAAAACCAATAACAGCAGTTATCAAAAAATTACCTGACTGGCCTATTCCATTAAATGCAAAGATTGCCAAATTTCCAAATGATACTGCAATCTTTACTAAATCACTGAAGCCTCAAATAGTAGTAGAAATTGCAGTCAACCAAATAGCTCATTATTTCAACGCTTGGAAACTTAAAATATATCCTACCAAAAGTGAAACTCTCCTCTTCCGAAAGCATAGAAAAAATACTCTTGTGGATATAAATATCAGAATATACAACCAGCCTGTTACAATAGTAAACAGCACAAAATATCTAGGTGTTCATTTTGACAAACAGCTTCTCTTCAAAGAACAAGTAGAAAGCGCGATTAGAAAAGCTACAGCTGCCAAAATAACCTCAATTAACAGAAACTCAAAACTCAGTATCAATCTCAAAAGACGGATTTACATTACTCTGATAAAACCAATACTTTTATACGCCGTTTCAATCTGGCCTACTGTATTCAAAACGTCTAGGAAGAAAATTTAAATCTTCCAAAACAAGATCCTTCGAGACATAGTAAATTCCCCATGGTTTGTGAAAAATCTTCAGATCCACAAAGACTTAAAAATTCGTCCCATTGCAAATAAGATATTAACTACAAGCCATAACTTCTTTACAAGAATCGAAAACTCTGAATACGACCACATCCGACTCCTCGTAGATTACCATCCAACAGTTGAAATCGCTTCTAAAAGACCACGGAGCATCTCCCATAATTCGAGATGTTCATAATGTAAATATGTTTATTACTCCACTACAGACTTTAATTTTTATAGATTTGGTGGATTCCACTATCATTACAAAGCTCAAGTGCCTTTTATTTTACTTACCTTTGGTTATTTTCTTTTCGTATATTGTTAATTGTGCATCAAATGTGAAAATCACCATCAAGCAATTATGCATCATGTAAATAGTGTATATAACCATTTTATTCATCGCCACACCGAACCTATGTGAAAATTGTGTTGTGTACTCATATATTTTTCTACTAAGAAAGGACTTAATTTGCGGAAAGGTTTTCAAAAAATTTACATAAAAAATTTAAGCAATTTTCAGTCAAGCCAGACTATGGGTGGGTGACCCGCCATGTGACTCTTAACAGCCAATAGGACTTGACCATTTATTTAAACTGGAAAAATATTCATATTTCTGCCCAATTCCTAGTGCATTTCTCTCTCAACTTATTGCCATGAATTTACTGAACATTTTGATACCAGATTTCACCATATTTGCTGAAGATTAATACCTGCCAATTTCGAAATTGCATTTGCCATACTTGCTCTACTCATGCAGCATTCAAAGAGGTCAGTACTTGGGTGGGTGACCACCCAGGTGACTGGCCTCAGCCAATCAGTCTTCATTCATTCACAGATCGAGCGTCTTTCTCAAATTACGTACATTAGTACTTGCTTTAGCTTCGCCATGGATGGCGCGGCGGTTTATTCGCCTTATACTCTTAAGCTTCTATCACACCGACGTGTGATAGCCGCACTACTGTACCCGATGAGCGTTCGGTTGGCCCGCATCAGATGCTAGCCTAACAAAACATTTACATAGAAACTTTCAATTGATTCTAGACTTATGTATTGAATATACAATTACAAAAACACGGTATACAATTATTACAAAGAAATTAATCGGTTAACAAAAGTTGGATTATGGCAGATTAATATAACATAATTACTTCGAACATACATCATACAAACATTCATTGTACATCAGACATTGTACATTATACTTCATACAAACAATGCATTTACATTAGTGTATCTAATTTCATCGATTCACATTAAACATCTTTTAAGGAAGTAATTAGTGAAGAATGTTTTGTGCATCTCCTAGTACATTGTCGTATTCCTTTCATTTTTTATTTCAATTATCTTATTTTCTTTCATTTTTTATCAAGTTACAGACAATTGCATCATTACTGATATATTAATGTGAGTCATTACTGGTATATTATATAGATATATTAATGTAAATGTAAGAATTATGTGATTTTGTAATGTATTTTTCTGTAATTATGATACATTAATTTACAAAAATAATGTAAGACTTCGGAAGTATGCAGGAAAAAGAATAGTTTTTGTTTCTATCCTGCTTTGATATAGAGTATTATACCATAACTTCAGTCTTTAAATTTAGCCGAAGGCTGGCTGAGCTAGTTCTTAGTTTTTGAATGTTTAAATTTCAGTAAAATAAATTTAGTTTAAATTTTAGTTAGTTTTTAAATGTTTTAATAATTTATCAAATGTTTATTTATATTTTTTATATTTATTAAATTTTAATTTTAATTTAATTATTAAATTATTTTTAATTGTTTTTAAATACTACTTATTATTTTATTAGTTGTTGTTTTATTTATTTATTTTCTCCTCTTCCCTGACGACCTTCCATAGAGCTTCGGCAATTCTAATTTTAGAAATTAAGCCCTGATCGAGATAATTCATCAATGGCAGTATTTGCATGTGAATGACTAATTAGTCCGAAAATGGTCTCTAAATATCCGTTTTTTTTAATTTATGAAACCGAAACCATATTGAAATATAAACTATAAATTAGGAATTGCAACAGGCATAAAAAGTAATAAAAATGTCTTTTAATAGAATTGAACTTATGTTTTTCTTTGTATCTTATAGATTTGTTAAGAATTTGTTTTGCTAATGCGTACATATTCCAACGCGAAGGGATATTCTTTATCATGAATGTTTTTACTCCATATGTTATCGTTTATAAAGAGGAATATATCAAGGTAAGTATTATGCAAGGTAAGATCTATATATATTTCAATTTTTCCTTGTTTCAGAATTTCTCAAACTAAGATAGTGAATTTTATAAAAAATAGTTCAATGCTGCGGGTGGAAGGAGTCATTAAATATGAAATATACCTTTTTGGTACTGCCAACCGTAGATCTTGAAAGTTTGTAAATTATTCATTGCATTTAAATAAGTTAAACATAAAAAATGTTAACTTTTGTAAGCAAAAGTTAATTGGCTTGAACAGACACTTGACCATAATTTCAAAGATTTCCTGCATGATAAGTTGCAACGCGATTTGCTATAGAATAAACACTAATGTTGGCATTATGCAAAGAAGGAAAAATCATTTCTTGAAGCGTTTTCCTCAATTTTTTCGTATCATAATATATCATAATGTCCCATTGCACTATCATAAATGTATCATCAACGAAAATATTCATTTCCACTGCTCTCGAAACCATTTGAACGATGTTTTTGCGTGACATATCTACGTACGGAGAGAATAAAGGAGTGTTTTTGCCAAAAACGATTGTAAATTGTGTTTAAAATGGGTACTGGAGAGATTATTTACTTAATTGTACTAAGTAAAGGAAGTATTGTAATCGCTAAAAATTTCGTGTATCATATTTAAACAAAAATATCCGCTTTGACAGCTTTCGAATCCATCTGTACGATGTTTTTGCGTGACATCTGATGTACGGACAGGTCTATTTTACCTAAAATGAATTATAAAAAGAGATTTGAGATGGATTCAAAAGAGATTTTCTTTCGTGACGTCTGTGTATGCGCATGCACGTGTCTCGCCTAACTCAAAAACAAATAGCCCCAGAACGTTAAAATTTTATATATGGAACTACCATATATATCAGAACATAACATATAGTTGTGCACCTCCGTTTTTGTTTGTGATTGGCAGCACCAAATGCATATATATTGTTTAAGTTCGACTAAGCCTAATCCAGCAGCTATTTTTTTTACATTTGAAACTTAGCAGAATAGTGAATTAAATCGGTTTCTGCACCTTTATTGTCTTTTCGCCGAGTGGGACCAAAAGTAAACTTTCAGTTTTCTGTACCGAAAAATCTGCCTGCTGGCCGAATTGCTCGTTTTTGCGTAGAAACTCTAATTTTTATTGTAATTTTTTTAAATTGTTTTATCTATTTGGTGTTTTTTGTTTTCCTATATTTTTCAATTGTTAATGAAGATGTTTTGAGGTTTTATGTATTTTTGCAATACCGTGAAGTGAGAATTCAACTACTTGAATGAGAAATATATTTCTAATGAAATTCGAGGAAATAAGTTTAAATGAAATGCAGTACAAAATGTTTATAATGTAATAGGCCGTACAAGTCATGTGGTGTGCACTTCAGATTTGTTTCTTTACGTCTGTACCCATTAAAGTATGTATATATCTCGCATAACGAGTAACCGTAGAATGTTGAAATTTCGCGTATGTGCCGGCTGTAACATGTAGCTTTCCACTTCCCCTTTTCTTTGTAATAGGCTGCACATTACATCTTAGCAATTAAACTTTAAAAGACTGTAATTTAATTCATCAACTAATTAAGAATCAGCACAATTATTGTTGGATTATTTATAATAACGATCCAATTAGCAATAAATTTAAAAGTTTAGAAATCAAGGGTATTAACTGGTATGACTTCGAAAACCTTTATACTTCTCTGCCACTGGACGAAATTTTTACTAGTTTAATGCAACTATCAGAACAATTTCCTGGCATAATACGTATCCTCTGAAACACGCCTGCAATGTGCATTATTTAATAACTACATTAATTTCAATAACAAGATTTTTCAGCAGGTGAGAGGTATCCCAATGGGAGCAAACAGTTCTACACAGATCTGTGATCTATTCTTTTTACTAACGAATTTAAATTCCAACTAGGTTTTGAATAATAATGAATTAAAATTATTTGCAAATACTTTTAGATACATTGATGATATTATAACTTTCAACAATGTTTCTGCTATTTGAACAATTCAGAATTTACCCAGATGGTTTACAAATTCATAAAACTAATACGAATCAAGATATTATTGAATACCTTCATCTGCAAATTCTTTAAAACAGCAAAATTAAATTATGTGATAAAAGCAGGAATTTGCAATTTGAGACTATCAAACTAATTAATTGGAACCCTCATATTTCTAAAAAAAGTAGTAGGCAACACGTTTTATATCCAAATCATTAGATTGAAAAATATATGTACCTTAATAGATTATTTATCTAGAAGAAGAAATAATAAAGTTAATTAATGTGACAGAAAATAACCAGGCTCCAGCACAGTTTATTAATTTCTGTATTAAAAAGGCACGCATTAACTTGTCTATTTAATTTTTTTACTCGTTATGGTATGATAGTATTACTTTAAACTTATTTATTGTGGAGAGTTAATGGATTAATTTATGTAAATATGTATATTTCTCTTAATCAATACTGGAGTCTTTCCTTTTATTAATGAAGGAAACTCTTTTCTAGTCTCAATTATAGCTCGAAATGAGTGAAGATTTTTATATTTTTCTTACCTTTTGGCCAGTATTTAGTTCAAATTTTAATTTAGCTTTAGTTTAACTTCAGTTTAAAAAAATTAATTTATTAAAATTTTTTAACAGTTTTTTAATACTTTTGTACTTTTATTCAAAATTTGGAAACATTTAAATCATTTTTAATACACTATTTACATTTTAAAATTTCTATAGCAGTTAGCAGCTACATTTATTCTTTTTCACTTTTCACTCAGAACTTCAATTTTACATTACTTTAGAGTTAGCAGGTACATTTATTATTTCTCATTTTTCACACAGAACTTCCATTTTACATTTTTTTTAGAGTTAGCAGTTACATTTTTGCAATACCTATCACAGTTGGCAACTTAACACTACCCATCCTTACAAAGTAGTATCAGCGCCCGCTATTTACACAGTTAACAGGTACACACCACTGAACCTTACATTGTTTAGCACCTGCTACACCACTCTCCCGCGTGCAAAAATATGTGGTCACATGGTAAGTTAAATTGGAACTTACTATTTACTTCCCCCCTTTTTTTGTATTATTTTTATATATCGTATTTATTTCGTAGACTCGATTATAGAATTGGTTGCCCTTCGATTAGCGACACATTTTGTTCAATTTTGGCGATGAAACCCCATTTCTATTTACCATGATAGTTTTAACCTTGTTTTAGCTTCCTGATTTTTTTAAGTGAGAATATGTCGATGTGTACATGTATATAGATAAGGCAGAGCATAATGCCTGCTTTGTACAATTCTCTGATTTTTTTATGCAAAAGCAGATTGATGTGCACATGGACCTCGAGTTTGTGCAATTCATTTACTTCTTATTTCGTTTCGTGCAGCGGCCATCTTGACATTGTGCCTTCCTGGCGCCGATCTTGGCGTCAAAAATGGTTTCCAAAAACACAAGGGGCACCCAGTTGTAAACTTTAACAATTTTATATTATTATGTTTCATTTTATGATGTTTAGATTAGTATTTTTAAAATTTTATTTTGATTTGCATGGATAATCGGGGAAGTATCTATATAACTCGGGGAAGTATCTATATAAGTAAGGGTTTCTTTATTACTTTGTTTATTACTTTATTACTTTCTTAATTACATTGGCTGTGTACTTTCAATTAATGATTTTATTTCCTTTAATGTATTTGCCTTATAAATTTCTCGAATTTTTTTTACAATTAAATATCTCATTTAAACATTTCTCTACTTTTGTTTTTTTGTATTTCTTTACCTATGCCTATATGGATGACGAAACATGAATTGCGTAATTGAAGAGTTAGGTTTGGAGGCAAATTCCTCTTGAAAAGAAAAGTGGCTCAAAAAAATTTTAAGTCTTTTAGATTAAATTTTTGGATTATTATATATTTTTCATGTATTTAGGTGCTTACACTTAATTTACCTTCTGAATTTGAATGATACTGCAAATTCGCAGCAATAATTAATCATTTTATTTTGTTTACAATTCAATTTTCCTAATTTAAAATTTTAAGTACCTTTATATGAAAGAGGTGATGATAATGTATTTGTTATATATACACGGGGTGTACCGTAAATGCTGCGACAAACTTCTAGGGGAAGTAGGGCACATGATAAGGATTAAGAATTGCATAGGAATCTATACTCCAAAATGTCAGGGGAAAGTGCTAGCAGAGGTAGATGATGGAAAAGGGAACAAGAAAGTGATTAATTTTAAACATTTATTGGGCATGAATACAAATAGTGTTCTGACAGCTTGAATGTTACAGCGGACCATCAGACGTCAACAATGCCTCACACCGTCGGACCATTGATTGCTGAACATGTTCAAACACACCGGGACTTTCTTTGATTGTAGCAGCTGAGAAGGCGAGTCTTGCCACGAGATCCATTTCAGACACAACACACGACACTTTTGATGGCTTCGCACAAAAATAAATCAAGGCTCGATAAATCCGGTGAGCTTGAGGGCCCGGGAAGTGGTCCACCATGCCCAATCCATCGATGCGGGAATGATCTGTTCAAATGGCTACGAACATCCAGTCCAAAATTTGTCCACTTCTTAATGACCCGTAGTCGCACAAATTTTGATGCAGACGTGCAAATAAACTGTGGTGTGGTTGATGTCTGTCAGAGAAGCGTTCTCGATAAATGCGAGCAGCGGCTGGTCCATTACTCTCAGCTATTCCATACGCTAACTGCATGTCTGCCATCTTTCCATTCGTATAGCGTTCCATGTCCTTCGAATGGTGCCTACCGCACGAATGAGGCAATACTCACTTTCCACTAGCACTCTTCCGTGCGGCAAACCCTGGCGGCCTAGAATGACGTTTCTGGGCATGGGTTCCTAAGCAATTCTTAATTCTTATAATGTGCTCTACCTCCCCCAGAAGTTGCCGCAAAATTTACGGGACACTCTGTGTAGCGTGTAAAAAAATTATTTTAAATATTTCTTATAGCTGACTTTAACTTTTTTTTCAAACTAGAACACGATATGCTCAATTGTTATTTCTTTCGTCCTAAAAATCACCTATTATCTTTGCATTTGACAGTTGACGTTATAACCTTGTCTCTATAATTTTTATTTCTCATTTCTGTTCATAAGGAGAAACTGTTTAAGTTACCTCAGCTATTGAGTGCAGATACATATTTGTTGACAAAGTGCATTCTGTTATATGCAGATAAGTATTTGTTTAATAAAGTGCATTAAATTTCGTAGTTTTTTTTTGGGGGGGGAGAGTTGATTACTTTAGTTGCTACTGCCCTTACTTGGCAACTAGAATAGTGATTTTAGGACTTAAATATAACTCTCGTTTTACATCAAATCTGTCAGACATCTTATTCATACTTTAAACTCTCTTATATGTGAAAATGCACGAACCAAAACCTCTACTTGAAAATGCTGTTCCAGTAGCCAAATGTTCAACACAAGAAATGCTACAGTATCTCCCTCAAATAACGTCATCAGTATCTTACTGAATTACCTTCAAAAATTGCATCATGTAACAACAGATGTATACCGTTTCACCTAACTCGTATATATAATGGTCCTACCAACAAACAGCGCTAACGTGTCTGTATTGTATGATCGAATAAAAATTAGCGACCTAGAGCTCTAAGCATTTGATTGAAGGCTACACGAAAGGTTGCTTTTCATAAAAATCTTCTGCAATTTAATAATTTTGAATAAATCTTTAATTATGCTAATAAAAAGTTCTGTTTTGTGATGCTATATGCATTGCACAACAGCAAAGGCATGATTTCACTATTAATAAGATTTAATTATTGTTTTGTATTTACTTCTGCATTTTACCCCATCATTGATTAGGTCAGATCGCTTGAAAATCCTGGCAGGCAGTTGGTCACTATAAGTTCATTTAAAATATCTCTCCTAGCATGAAATTTGTCCTTCCGTGTTATATGCCATTTCATATGCATTCAGAAATATACTTAAAAGATATATAGATATTCAAAGGAAGAGCTTTGAACTAAGATTCTAAAAAGATGGAATTCCATTGCACTTTGTGGAGTCTCACTTGTTTTGGTAACATACACTGAATTGTGACTCCTATGTAGAATTAAGAGACGTATGTCTAGACAGGCCAACAAAAACGTACTAAATATGTAATAAAATATTTATTAAGAACTCAATAATTTGAACAGGAGGTAATCCCTGTGTTTACAAATAGCCAACATTTATCTCGTGAAGTCAAAAGTAGAATTTTAAATTAAAACCTAATCTGTTTTATTTAGCCAACGCCTACGCAGAGATATTTAGACTTGCAAGTTGGCTCTTAATCGATGCCAGCGTGACAGCACCATCGCCACTAATGCAACAACGCTGTGCACGTTAATGATTATCGTATACTAACGACTAGTTATGTGGCCTTTAGCATGCAGAACATGTTAACCTCAGAACCTCAGAACAACCTCAAACAACCTCTGAAACAACCTCAGAACCTCACTTAAATGCACTCGAGCTAAATTTGCATTCTGTCAAGAAAACGGAAAAAAGAGAAGTATCCTTATAGATTCGTAAATTAAAATAACTTGTTACTTAATATAAATACCTTATAACGTATTAATCATTGTCTTTTTTTAAAACATAGGAGGTGATTAACAGCCGAGTTGCTGATGATAAATCTAAGGATTACATTGCTTTTCAACCTATTTTAGGAACTGGCTTGCTTACCAGGTAGCTTTCACTTTATTTGTTAAACTGACTGTAGCAGCACTCCATTTAAATTATTAAAATTGCATTATTATGTACTAGGCTACTTTTAAGCATTATTTTACTGCCTTAAAATAGCCTAGTATTGTATATTAAAGTAGTCTAGTGGTATATACTAGCTAAATTCATCTTTCTATGGGTGCTTACTATTATCATCATTCAAATTGTAATTTCTGGTTTTTTTTTTTTTTTTTTTTTTTTTTAAAGTTTTTATATGCCATGAGATTTCTTTTCATGACATTTAGTTAAGGAAGAATAAGAGATCCTTAAAGTTAGCTTAGGTTATCTCAGTATGACACTGCACACGAAACTATCTGCTGAAAAGTGAAGGTTCGTTTCAGAGAGGTTTTCTAAATTAGACTGGTCTGTGTTCACTTTACGAATGAGGAAAAAACCAAGGTATTTTTGAGAAACATGTTGCAAATAAAACGAAAAGAAAGAAAGGTGAAAAGCATAAATAACAGGAAATATTTGTACCTGAAAATAAAACAAAAATAATATATTGCTTCTTAGTTAATCATATTAAAATATTAATTAAATCCTTATTTTAAATAACACTGCTTTTATTAAAAAATCCGTCATTGAAGAGTGGTTTGAGGTATAATAGTAACCATGAATTATTAGTTCAAAGGGGCAATTTGTCCAGAAGGACCATTATTTCGTTTTGGCATTTTACGTTGATTCACTATAAATGTCGGTTCACTTTCAAATTGTTGCTACCAAAAATTAGAGCCCTGTATTATATTTAAAGAAATGAAATAATGAAGAATATGCATGAATTTTTCTCACATTGTGATTAAGCAACGGTACCTAAAGATAATACATTTTGAATAACGTATATCTCCCTCCGAATATAAGCATCTGGAAGCCCAAGTTTGTAATCTGGCATTTGTTTTATTAACTGTTTCATATTTTGTAAAACTTTAAAGAATTTTTTATTAACAAACTCAACGATTCCAAAGGGAGCAACGGCAACACTGTTAAAAAAAAAAAAAAAAAAAAAAACATTTTTATCACCAGCGCGCGAGATTGCGTATCCGAATTTCTAGATACGCTCATTTTAAAATTATTTTGCGATATTGCTGTTGAACTGAATTTTATGGTTTCTGTGCGAAGAACATGACATTTAATGAAAAAAGGTAACACAAAAAACGTTAAAAACACCCCTTATTGCGTAATGTAAAATATGAAAGCTTTCTGATTTTTATATTTAATAAATTCTTTAGTTATCTAATTGAAAAAGTTAATTACACTCACGACAATAAATTAAGAACAATACCAACTTCGGCAAATAAATTTTCAGAAACAAAACAAGCGTCACTTATTCATAAAGCCCATTTATTGAACAAAAGATAAAAAAGAAAGATAGTGTATATATGATACCATTCATAAAAACTACGATTTTTGCTGCCGGGAACTATTTCAAAAAAATATCTGCTTACAAAAACTTAACACTACATGGTTGATATGATGGTAATTACATTGTATGTCTCTCAGTCGATAGTCCGTACAATACTTAGGCATGCTGAGTATCAAATTATCGAGCTGATCTTGGAGAAGATTACTCCACTCAACAAGCAGTGCTTTTCTGAATTCCGGTACACATATAGGAGGTGCTTGACGGTCCGCAATTTCGTCTGTGAAGCATATTCTAAACATGGTCTATGGCAGGGGTTCTCAATCAGTTGTACGCAAACGAAAAATAGGTGGTACGCAAAGAAATAAGGTATTTTTAACTATTAAATTCAAAAATTAAATATCCCATCCTGTTTAAGGTTTTTCTTTAACACTCGTAAATTTATGCGATCTGAACTTTGTTCAACGTCACTAGCCGCTCATAGACTTTTAGCCAGAGACATGACAAAATTTTCATGAATGATGATTTTTAAAAGAAATAATAGAAATTGATGTTGTATTTAATAGTAAATAAGTTCGTATAAAAATGATAGTATCTCATAATTCTTGTAGAGTTGATGCAATTATTAGCATCTCTACACTTTATGCGGTTAACATTTCCGGGCTCATATTGTTCTATTTTCAATTAAAATAATTTTTTTTGCGTCGATTACCTGTTTATAACAGTTATTCTGTCTTCTACTTGCTTTGCATTCCTTATGTTTCACGTGATTTGAGAAAACCGTTTTCTGTTTTTGAACAACACGTGCTATATTGTGCATTTAAATATTTGTGAAAAATTATAAAACAAACCTAGATTTTTCAAAATGGAAAAATGGCTAGGATGGACTAGGGTGGACAAAATGGAAAAATGGCGGAAAAGTGATGATTCACAGGTGACGGGACAATCTGCTAGCACTAAGAATATTGAAAACATAAGGAAAATTGTGTATATAAAATGAAATGAAAGTTAGTTATAATTTGGGTTTACTTGGAATGGCTATGAAATGGATCCTTAAGCTTATAGTAAAATACTTATTCAAAAATTCTGTGAATTCAGAAAAAAAAAGTGCATTTTGTAAACTGGTTCAGCGAAAGCATCTAAAAACTTGTCTCGTATACTAAAATGAAATTCATAATAATAATTTTATTTAAAGTCTGATTTATTTCGTTCTCCGTTTTCAGCAATGGCAGAAAATGGCGAAATAGAAGGAAATTAATTCAGCCATGCGTCCACATGAGAAACGTGGAAAACCTTATTCCTATATTCAATGAACATTCACTGCTGCTCGTGGACAAACTGAAGAAAAAAGAAAACGAACCATTGGTTGATGCTGAAGATATAATGGTTGCATGTGCAATGGATATAATCTTTCGTAAGTATTTCGGATCATCACAGGATATTAATAAGAATATCGAGTTACTAAGACGATTCACAGTAATAAATTTTAAAATAATGTAAGTAAATTTCCCCATTTTATTTAGAAACGTTAGATTTCTGTAAAAAATTATAGGGCCATTTTAGCGTTCGACCAGACATTGCACATTCAATGCATGTGCAATGTGTGAGTATAGATACATACGGTTTTTCCGTAATATGACTTAAAGCTTGTCTTATTTCATTTACCTGTATAAGATAAAAAGAAGACCTCATATGTCTGAGTGCGTGTATGTGTCCATAGCAAGCCTGTAGCCACAAATTTCAGCCTACAGATTTTCTAAGCTATCTCTCATATTCCTTCTGGCTTGAAGTATTTTTTTTTTTTTTTTTTGTCAAAATTAATTTTC